TGCTTATTAGCAATAAAAAACTAAAAAAAAAGTGTTTATTATGTAATGATATAACATCATAAAGCTCTAACAATGCCAAACAATCAATATCAATTCAATTTCTGTTATGATAAACTTCTATATCTGTTACATTACTTGTTTGTATGTATTTGATGTAATGCTATTAAAGTAAAAAAATAAACTATTAACTAAGGCTTCCTGAATATGATGCTACAATGAGTGTCTTCAGGGTACATTTTTTTGCTAATGTGTCTTGATGTTTTGAATCTTGGCCTGAGTCATCCTGACATCCTTGATGGCTGCTGAAGGATAGCACTTAGCATTTTGTTCATTGTATAGAAAAAGCAACCTAATAATGGTAAAGTTCCTAATTTAGAGGTACTAGTGTAGTAAAACTTCTCATAAGCATGTATAAGTCAATGCTGAAATACTATTCAGTGTGCATTATCACTTCAAGATAATTATGGCAGAAATGAGCCTTCAATCTCACCCTGCCTCTGATTCTGTGTATCCTTCCTTGCTCTCCCTTTGCAATCATGCATATGCTTTATGTATTTCTTTCCTTATTTTGAGAGTGATACCATAATATTAGCTTTCTCCTCCAAGCCTTCCAAATGTCAGTGCTCCCCTCTTTCCCAAGGCAGTTTGTTTTTGGCACCAACTGCTGATAAGAGCAATGAGAAGTCTCTTCCCAAAGGAAGGGTAGCCTTGCATCAGTAGTGAGTACAGCAATGCAGACATCAACTGACTCCACTCAGCTGTTATCTGCTGTTAATGCAAGGTCATGGAGAAAAACACCACTGAGTATCCACGGTACAACTGGTGAAGGAAGGACAATGTACTGAAGATGTTCAGAGTCTCAGGTCGTCCTAGCACCAGTAACAAGAAACCTCTGAGATCTATTCTTCCTTCATTACTTTAAAAATTGTTGACCATCTTGTCTAGAAGATGATCTGGTAAGCTTATTTTCTGTTGCTTTGCTTCTCTGCTTTATTTTTTTTCTTTCTTTCTTTTTACCATAGAATACTGCTATTCCCTTTGCATTTTTTGGTGTTTAGTATGTTTTATAAAATTGCTTTACCTTACTGTAAAGGGCAAGATTTCAATTTTGTTTTTCTCACCTCTTCAGGTACTACTGCCAAAGACACTGACAGCCCATCAGCTTTGGCATCATTGCAGGTTTCTACCATACATGAGGATATACACGGACACCTATGGGAGGAGTTTTGTAACTATTTGGGGTGCTTGGTAATCATGAGCTTGAGGCCTGCTCCCAAGATGAACTATTTTGGTGGACAGCAGTGGGGAGCATCTTGCAGACAACTGCCAGTGAAAGCTCTCTAGTTATCAAGGCACACAATTAGACCTTCTTGTCAGTCTTTTGTACAACCTCACCCAAGATGTTACTGTCAACAAGAGTCAGTGGTGATTCTGAATATGCTTCTGTCCAATTTAGTCCAACCAAGTATTGTGGATCTTTTGGTATGGAGACCTACAAGTCCTATGTTTATCAGCGAAGTGGCTGGATATACCTCTGTCAATGTCAGGCACTGACAAGGAGGAACTTCCTGTGCTTCCTGAAAGTTTTCAGGAAGTACTACAGCCTGTATAATGATAAATAGTTAACATTATTGTCACTTTTCCATTATCTTTAGTCCAGATATAACAGTACTGCTGGGGTGGCCAGAAGACAAGGAAATATAGTGAGTGATATTCAGGAATATCCCTGGAAGGGTGCTGCTCACAGTACTCCCACAAATCTGGGATGAAGGGGTGGTTCTGAGCAGCTTGTTCTTTCAATACCACTTGTTGATAATTCCTCTATTACTGAATTCAACCAACTGTCTAATTTTCCTTGAATCACTTCCACAGAGCTCTGACTTATGTTGCTAATACTTTATGGTACACTATAACCAATTAATTAACCCATTCGCGCCGGGTAAAAATGAACATTTTTTATATTTTTTAATGAAATTTCTCTACACTAGATGGCTCTGCCTTACCTGGTTTCACCTTTCCTTGAATTGGCGGGAAAATGTATTTTTACTAGTGTTACGAATATCGATGGTTATTTTTATTATAAACATTATAATTAATATAATGTTATAAACACTAGTAACAGCAAAATAAGATAACACAAAATAATTTCGTAAATTAAAGAAAAGGGTAAACAGGCGAGACGGGCAGTACAAGTACAAGTGTAGCCATCTATGAGTGAAAACAATTAAACAAGTAAACTCACAGTGAGCCTGTCACGTATACGTGACGGTCGGTGTGAATGGGTTAAGAAACTTTGAACCCACATTTTTCTTCATCAGGTTTGAACAGGTAGCACAGAATGATAACATGATTTTCTTCCCTGCTTGGGGGCGTCTCATCTTAATTCACCCTCCTCTTCCTCTTCTAATGTCAAGTTTTCCATAGATATACAATGGAGTATCTTTCTCTCCTTCTTTGTAAAGAGAAAAGGTTGAGTTGTTTCAGTCTTCCCCAATACTTAAGACTAGCCATGTTGTCTATTTTTTTGCCAAAAACTCTTTGAACCTGTTTTAGCAAAACTGTCTTTTGTGAGACTTGAATTCCAAATTTCAATCTTGGAATTACTAGTATTTTCTAAAGGTGCTCTGGATCTCTTGCCTGGGAAAGTTCTCCACATCCACCCACTCACAACTTTTCCTTGTTGACCAGCTGCTCAACATGATGACTGAAGCTCATATCATTACTCATGAACAGGCCTAAACCTTTTACAACTACTTTTTCTTTAATCTATATTCCTTCAACAGAGTATGATTTTGGTCTTGGACTTCCAGTTGGGCTATATCTTATGATTTCAAATTTGAGAGAATTGACATTCATACTGTATTCACTTGCCTAGGTTTGTAGATTTTTTTTCTTTCATTTTACAGCTATAACACAAGTCAATGTACTATATATATGAGAATAATTTTTTTTTTACACCTAAAAGAAGAAAAAACACTGTTGTTCCTAGGTTATAAATAAGTAAAATGGCACAGAACGGTTAAGAGGAGCAGCAAATGGAATCTCCTTGAATTACCTTCCTCTGGAGTGATAACAGGCTTGGTTCTGGGAAGATAAGCCATCCACCAACGCTGAGGAGGCTTCGGAGTCTCTTCTGCCTTGTGCTCTTCTTTTACAGTGCCTCTACATCTCGAGCACCCTGAACAAGGTGCTGAGTACTCTATGTCAGCTGAACAGTCCCATGTAATATCTGCAAACAAGTATTTGGTGAAGATCCTGCAAAGACCTCTAGATAGTTTTATATGATACAGAATATTTCTTTTCCCTTTCTTTAGGGGTCTTATAACATATTGCAATGCTGATGGGGAAAGAATGGGGGAGGGGAAAGAGAGAGAGAGAGAGAGAGAGAGAGAGAGAGAGAGAGAGAGAGAGAGAGAGAGAGAGAGAGAGAGAGAGAGAGAGAGAGAGAGAGAGAGAGAGAGAGAGAGGGGGGGGGGGATCCTTCAAATTTAGTTTTTTCATGTATTCTAGCATTTAACATCTTTTGGTATTAATTTAGTGGGGGTTCCTTAACTGATTGCCAATGGGGATGGTATGTATGAACATGCTATGTTCATTATTATTGTTTTTTTTTTTTTTTTTTTTTTTATTTACTGTTCCACAAATGCTTCATCACCATGGAGTTAATTGTTAGTCCTACCTATGTCACCTGTCTATCATTTTTTATTGACTTTCTGAGATATCTTTATATTTCATTGCTTTTAGTATTGTTAATAACATCATGATAATCATAATAATAATAATAATAATAACAACAATAGCAGTATTAATATTAATGGAATTAGATGAAGAAGAAGAAGAAGAAGAAGAAATCTACAAACTCAAGGAAAGAGAAAATCAGGCAAGTCTTGCAGACCTAATAATTGACTCCTTGGCAGCTGAGCACTTGTAGAGCCATCTACATGTAAAGACAATTCACAACAAGAAACTACAGCAGACATATGTTCTTAGTAGTAATGTGTTAATTGGGGGGCAGGGGTGAGGGCCCTAGCAAAACTCCTTTTCATCTTCAATATCTGTCTTTCTTATATAATTTTTCTCAATCTGCATAATACATATGATAAAACAATATCAGCATAAACCTGAATTTCTAGTTTTCTTCAGTTTTCTCATTTTAAATATTCAGAAAGAAAGGAACAAATTTTTGAAATTCTTAATATAACTTTCTGTGTATTTTAGAGGATTTCCAATGGGATAAACAAAATTTAAATTGGTAAAATAATCATCATGTATAGCACTATGAGATTTTAGTTGTGGAAAAAAGAAGTTTAGTTCACTTTCAGGAACTTACAATTAATGAAAATTCATAATCCAACTGCCATTAATTTCTCTTTCAAATGCTGCTTACTGCATGTAGATATGCTTATTGGCTTCCAAGTCATAAAAAAATACCCTTGTGAAAAAGGGCTAAATCCTAAATTTGGGGTGACCATAATATAAATACAAATACTGCTTATCTCGGACCAACTGCATTAGTGTTTCCTTACAAGTACATGTTTACACTGTGTTAATATGTTTAAATGTGTAAATATATGTGTATACATATGCACGTGTATGTGTGCATATTTATATACATGTGTATCTGTGAAGCAACAACTGTTAATGGTAAATCATTTCTTGTGGTTCCTATTGCAAGTGTATTTGAGTATATGCACATGAGCAGTTTCTGTCAATCTGTCTTCAACAGTTGTTCATGTAACTAGGCAAGACAGAGGAGGGCAACATATGACCCCAGGAATTTGGTCTACGATTTAGTGAAGTGTGACATGGATGAATCTAAATAGGAAGAAAAAAAGTTGTGTTAAAAAAAAAAAAAAAAAAAAAAAAATAGGCATGTTATCGACACAAAAATGAAAGAAAGAAGTGGAAATTTGGAAACATAGATCCAGTGTTAACTGTGGATGAAATAGAGAACTGGTGACATTAACAGGTATAGATGTAGTCAAATATGTGACCAAATG